TGTTGTTGTTGTTGTTGCGGTGGTAGTAGTCGTAGTAGTAGTAGTAGTCGTCGTCGTCGTGGTGGTGGTGGTGGTGGTGGTGGTGCTGGTGGTGGTGGTGGTGGTGGTGGTGGTGGTACTGCTGCTACTGCTGCTGCTGCTGCTGCTGCTGCTTCCAAGGGACCTGGTCGGTCGTGGGGCAACGCTTGTACTTGTCATCCTGATCGATGGGGTCCACCGTCTCGCACCCACCATCCGTTGAACCGTCCAAGTTCAAGGTGTCCTGTGTGCAGTCAGAGGCTGTTCAGGATCTATGTTGTAAGAATAGGTGTACTTGGGCTCTCAGAGTTACAGGTTGCTACCAACAAAGCAGCAGCGTTCTGACTACAGCTCTTGCAATCGGCCAAAGGCACCCGCACATGAGTTTGCAAACATGGGTAGTTCCTCTTACGGGAGGTCCTTACCCAAAGGATTCCCACATCTGCATGTGCCCACGTGTTGGACTGCGCGAGGGATCTAGAGTAGCAGCCTTGCGCCATCGCATCTTTTTCCGACACCCGGGTGCCCGGCGCCAAATGCACTCAAGCGGCCCAAAAGTGGGGTCACAGCACGCTTGGCACACGGTACCAAAGTGCTTCGGATTCTGGCCTTCAAATGCGGCCTGCTTTTGCGGCATCTGAGACAAACTTCAAAATCGGGCCAACTGCTGCTCAAACACGTAGACGGGTGCCCTTCTGTTAGCAGCCTCAGAAAATACACCAGTCAGTCTGCCCAGTGCGCCACAAGAGCCTCATGATTAACATGCTACAATACAGCATCCTATGGCCTGTTCAAAAGCGGTTGCCTTTGGACTATGTAGTTTGGGCCACGTAGCCTGGAAGACGGGCAACCATCAAATCTAGGCCTAGACGATGACCTGCATCACGCCACGCTCACGAGACGCCTGAGCACACTTCCTGTCCACCAGCTCCACAAGCTCTTCGGTGGACTTGCCTGGGTTGCTGTTAAGGGACTTATTTCAAGTTACTATATTGGAGAAACCATATTAAGAACTATATATATATACACACCCATCATGGCAGCTTAATTTACGTTCCTTAACAGCAACCAAGCTGCCCAAGGGCCCCTGACCCTCACAAAGGTTCAACAGCAGCTGTGAGAACTTCATGTTGAAGCCATTCCAGCCTCCGGTAGCGTAGTGATGCTCCGAGGCGGGGCAACGCTCGTGGACCACGTGTGTCAGCTTGTAGTGGCAGTCCATGTCATTCATCTCATGGCGCTCCTCCCTGAGATTCTGCTGGCAATTCACCAGGTTCACCTAGGTCTCTCCAAACAGAAGTGGCCCTTCTTGGGGTCCCTATAGCATATGGTACAGCAATCTGGGGTGCACAAATTGAAGCACACCCTCTTTTGGAAATACTCACCTCTGAGCATGCCTCCTTGGCAAGGTCCGCGAAGAACGCCTCATCGGCATCTCGATCCTTCACGATGCTGTTGAAGCGCTGCAAGGCTTTTGCTCGGGCTTCGCTGGTGTCGGCGTTCTTATAAGCCCAGAAAGCCTGGGTGACATTGGGGTTATATTGGGATAATGGAAAAGAAAATGACAACTACAGGAACTATAGGGATTATGTAGGGGTTACATAAGCCCAGGGCCTGGGTGACATAGATGTCCCTGGCGTCCACTGCACCCTGCGCAGCATCTGGCGCTGACGCCGCCAAAGCGGAGTACTCCACCTTTCCGATGGCCTCGTTCAGGAAGGACTTGTCACCGAAGCTGCAGACATGGCTCTTGTTGGTGAGCTTCGTCACCTTGGTAATCTGGCTGCTGAAGGTCTCGGAAGCAAACTTCCCAAGGTCGTCATCCTGCATCCAATTGACCGAGAAAAGATCACCCAGGCAGGATCCAATGTTCTTGCCCCTCACCGTGGCAGTATCCCCGCAGTAGGTGCCCCAGGAGGACTCCTGGGTCATAAAACGTGCTCAAGCATGTGTTGCCCAATTACTCAACCAACTATCTCAGAAACATACTCCTAGCTGACGCTTAGCACGGAATGAGGGAATGAACCTCTGCACCGGTCCCTGTATGGCCCCCGGAATGATACCCATTTTGCCAACGATCTTTGGCCTTGGCATTGGACGCGGTCACAGCCAGGATCTTGCCATCATCCTCAAGGTCTGGGAACATGGAGCCGCTCTCGCAGGCTTCCATGTAGAAAACCAACTGCTTGAACATCTCCTTGCTTTGCATGGTCTTCAAGGTCTTGGACAAGTCCTTGACATGCAGGAAAGGACCATTTGGGAAAGCGACGATGCCCACGCCTCCGTGGTCCACGAAGTTCACAAAAACAGTGTCGTCGGACGTGCTCTTCAGCACCTTGCCCGAGGCCCCGTCAGTGTTGCCGGTCAGGACATCCATAAAGAGCTGGGCTGTGACAATCTTTCCGCGATAGTCCACCTTGCAGCCCTTGTAGACGTCTGGCGAGTCTTCGCCGGGCCGGTTGAAGAGCTGGCCCGGGAAAGGGTTTTCTGATGACGTGGCCACGTCATCCTGCATCATCAGGATGATGTTATCAGCCGGAACTCCACTCTTCAGCATCAACTGGTAGGCATGGCAGGCATCTGCCTGGTGTCGGTAATTCCCGAAACCCTGTGAGCCTGCAGCAATGACGGCCCACTTCTCGGCCACTGCCACTGCTGGGAGAAGTGCCAGCAAAGTACGCATTGCCATCTCTGCAAGCTACTAGGGGAGTTGATGGCTGGGCACTAGATCGTTTTGCTGGAGACAGCGGCAATGACACAGGGCTGACGAATACCTTGCTGTCAAGAAAATAGTGAATCGTGCAGATGTTGATTTGCTGATCACCGCCTTTTTTTGCCTTTACTGTTTCTGCTTTTTCTTGCCGCGTCTTCTAGTATCAGCATGTTTGGATACTGCAGGTTATACCACGACCATCCGTAGCATCAGGTGATCCCGTTTCTTGGCATCTGTTGTTGCTATAAACAGGATCTTCTCTTGCAGTGCCAGGATGCCGCAACACCCTGGTGTGAGAGAATATGGGGGTTTCCCAGAATTAGGGGTACCTTTTTGGGGGTTCTATTATAAGGACTAGAGTATATTGGGGTCTATATTGGGGTACCCTAATTTTGGGAAACTACCATGTGATGGTGGTGCTGCTGCTGTTGTTGATGAATATGTTAGGGCGGGATCATGACCACTGAACTGCGCCGCTTGTTCATTATTTTTCCTGTGATGGTCAGCTTGTTACTAGGACCAGAACTGCATCAGGTGGTAATGGACCCGCTGCAATGTCAGCACATTCAAAGTCTTGTAGATCTATCTGTGTCTCCTCGCTGACGAAAAGCAGCAGCGCATACCAAATCGAATGCGTGAAGAAGATGCATTCGTCGAATGCCTGAAGCAGCCATTCTGAATTGCAATTAGCATGGCAGACACACTATTCAGTAGAGCAACACAGCTTGAGCAGAGTCCCACCAGCTTGAAATGCCAAAGCCTCATGCTGCGCACCCTTACGCACCCAAGGCCTCCTTTGCTTCAGTGATGTTCTTGTTGTACCTCAGGCCACACAAGTCAACCCAGAAGGGTAATGAACCACCACACAGAAGCAAAGGAATGTGTCTCAACCAATGACTGATCAGACCTCTCTTGGACGAAGTTGTCAGGCATTTGTTTTTTCTCAGAACAGGTGGTTTCCAGGAATTCTAGAGAAACTTCCACGTGAGGCTAGCTGGGCTTGTGCAAGTTGATCATGTCTCAGGCTCTCCAAGTACCCAACTATTGGGCACTTGGACCCTGAGGGTTAAATCCCAAACCCCAAGCCTTACACCCTAGTCCCTCACTATTACCTTTTCCTGGACCTGGTTGTCCTCCTTTTTTTGGGCGAGACCCTACACAAGTCACTGTAGAAGCCCCGCCCCTTTTGTACCCCCATACTGGTTTAGGGTTTACGGTATAAAATGTAGGACAGAACGCCAAAAGGGAAGGAAATCCAGAGCACAGGTAAGTTCTAAACCAACCTTTGGCAGCCCGTTGATCCGGCCGAGAAGCGACTCAAGCTCCTCCTGCGCCAGTGCCTGGTTTAGGGCTTAGGGCGGAGATTTAGGGCTTAGGGATCAGGATTTAGAGTTTGGGTGTAGGGTTTAAGGTGGGGGGCTGGTGGGGATTTCGGTGTGAGGCTTCCTACTTAGGATTTAAGGCTCATAGGGTTTAGGATTTAGGGTTTAGGATGAAGGGATCGGGTACAAAGTGTAGGGATGTTACCACAATGATGGAGGATCAAACGGAAAGAAAGTGGAAAATGACATGGGCAGTGCGGTTATACCTTGTGATAGCGAACATCATAAGAAGGAATCAGTTGTTTTTGTTTGCAAACTTGTTTGGTTTTATCGTTTTCGGAGAGGGACCCTAAATCCTAAGCGCTAAACCTCCAGGTGCAAAATTTGCTCGCAGGCTGAGGGGTTCCGAAATGCTGCCCACCAGCGACTTGGCCTAGCTTGATCCCCAAGCCTTCACTAAGGGACCATAGGGATGTTTCCAAGATTAGGGGCTCTTGTAGGCAGCCTTTATAAAACTGTATAAACCCTGAAACCCAAGCAGGGAGACCCAATCCCCAAGCCCTATAGTCCCCTTAAGTAGATAGAAGATGGCTTGGGCATACTACAATTTTAATACGATCCCCATCTACCCATATTCTTTCTACTTCACGGGGACTATATGACTATGTGTTCAGAAGCTCCAAATTCCCTGTCCGACCTCTTCTTCAGTTGCCAACTCCAGGGTCGTTGTGGTACTGGTTGTCGCTGGCCTCCCACAATGAGATGACAGTGGCTTTTGTTTTGGGCTCCGATTCGGAATCTTTTGCTTCCAAGACAAGAAAGCCTAAACATCAAACTCTATGTGTCCCCTTTATACTCCCGTGTACCCCTGGCCTGGCTGTGGCAAAACCTTAAAACCCCCGAGGCCCAGCAGCTGGCGCCTCCAAAATAACTCCGGCCCCGTGTGGCCCACCATTCGCTCGCAGGCGGCCTAGGGTTTAGGGTTTAGGGTTTAGGGAATTTAGGGTTTAGGGAATTTAGGGTTTAGGGTTTAGGGGTTCTATTGGGGTTATATGGAGGTTTCCGAAAATTAGGGGTNNTTAGGGTACATATTGGGGTCCCCCTATTTTGGGAAACTACCATATTGGGATAATGGAAAATAAAATGGAAACTACTATTGTATAATAGGGTATATATTGGGGTTATAGATCTTTAGGGCAAGGACTCCGATTTTTGGGGAACTTTAAGTCCTATATATCCCCATACATCCCTAAATGACCCTGAGAAACCCCTTTAATTAGGATTGAAGGGGTGGCGAGGCAAGGTTTGGGGATGGAACCCTGGGGATGAGTTTAGTATGGGTTAAGGTTCGGTATTTGAGGGATGGGGATTAGGGCTTGAAACTTTCGGGCATCGAGTCCAGGGGCTAACACAGGCTAGTGTACGGGCGTTGGGCTGCATAGACATCATGTGGAGATTGCATGCAAAGTAGGTGGGCATTTCAAACCACCACAGCCCAAAACAAGGAATCATTGCAAACCCTAAACCCTAAACCTTCAACCCTAAACCCTAAACCCTAAAACCCTAAACCCTCCAGCTTTCGGTTGGGAGCGTTGCCATGCTCCAATTATCGGGGCGTTGGTTTCTTTTGTACCCATCAGGGAGCCCCTACAAGGGTTCTGATGGCCATATACTCCTTCCATCTCGCGTTCCTAAGAAGCTTATCTTATCTCTGCTTAGCAGGAAATGAAGGAAGTGGACAGAACAGAACATGCAAACTACGATCTTGAAGGGGAGTATATGATTCCCGCATTCCTTGCTAACCAGAGGTAGGTGTTGAGGAACCCCATGCGAAGCAGAAGAGATCCTGCTCGGATTCATGGACTGCTGCTTGGGGGAAGCTTGGCTTGGCATTGTTCAGAAAAAACGATCTGTATGGGGGCCTTTGACCAGAAGTGGAGGTTCCTGTGTGGTGGGTCCCTACTATATGGGGATTCTGGTATGTTGCGGTATGTCTGGGCCATGTATGGAAACTCATGTATGATTGATAATGTTGGTTCACGAGCTGGGAAGAGTTTTGGGGTTGATTTGAGGCCTCCAAAGTAATTATCTCGCAACGCAGCGGTCCTTGCAGAAAAGACTGCGCAATACCATGATTCGTAAGCTCCCAGCGTCCGGGCGGGACCTCTACTCTTGTTTCTACACACCAGATAGCCTAGGTTCCCCAGTAACCCCTTAAAAGTAAGGGTACCCTTTTTCCTAATATTCAGCTTTGACAGGGAGACCCCAAATAAAAAAGGGAAAAAGGGTACTACTAGGGCACCTGAGCACCTACAGGGACAAAAATTCGCCAACTCATAAGCTCTCTATATTTAAAGGGGCTTTAATGGGAACCCCAACAGGGAACCCCAAGAATATAGTAGGAATATAATAGAATATAAGGACCCTGGTAGGTATATTCCTGCTATATTCCTACTACATTCTTGGGGTTCCCTGTTTGGGGTTTCCATTAACGTCCATTTATACTACACTTTCCCTGCACCATTGCATAAAGCATGCGGGGCCGCATAGAATGGCGCGGCGGATGTGAAGTTGTGAAGCCCGTATTTGCAAACAGTGCCGCTGTACCTGGATTTCACTTTGAGTTTCATGAGCGTTGGGGTGGCTTGTCTGGACTGCTGTTAGGGAACTGAATTTAAGTCACCATAATATGGGTAGAAAATAAAGAGTAAGGTTTCCGTGTTATAGCAGCTTAATTGACGTTCCTTAACAGCAACCCAGTGGTTCCTGAGATTGGGGCAGAGGTCCAACTGGCTTACTTAGAAGCATGCTAAGATGCCTCCAAGCCATGTTTTCTGGAGGAGTTCACAACTTTTGAACCAGGTTCATTAAGCTCAGCCCAAAACGACAAAACAACGCGCATGCCAGTGATCCAGGATGCTGGTCCACCGATCCCGCGAGAGCATCCATGACGTGCAGATAAACTTTGATTTGCGTGTGGGTGTCATAGGGCATCATATCCTTCAAGTATTTGTCCCGAGCAATGCACTGAAATCCTGGCGCGGCAATGACGTAGGTCTCATAGCCTTATATGCTGGCTCAAGCTAGAAGCATCCAAGGAATGCAAGTTTCAACTTTGAGTTTCAATCACTCCCACAGGTAAATCTTAGAGCCAAATGGCGGCTTGGCGGGGTGAACTACAACTCAGAAATGTCACCTTCTACATGCTGGGAAACATTTTCGTTGGGCTGGCGCACAGTATGGACTGTAACCTAACAGGATGGACGCCCTTCAACCGGGCAGCTAGGCCCCAAACCCTAAACCAAGCTCAACGAGTAGCTCTTGTCTTCGTTCTTCTTGATCCACATACTCGCCAGAGCGGCATGCGACCCGCCCAGGCCCATGCCTATACTCTTCAAAGCGGGTTCTTTCACGGGACCGCGGGGTTAGGCAGGGAAAGCAAAACATGTTCAAGTTGATGCCAGATGCCTGCCAGGTAGACGGTCTTGGTGAACTGCTGGCCTCCGCACGGGAAGTTACACGTGAGACTCTACGCACCGAAACTTGGCTCACAGCTGCAGTTGCCTGCCTACAACTACGCATGAACCTGAAGTGGTCTCTTCGTAACTCACTCGCTGAAATACAATGAACGGCCCGCAAAGAACTCACACCATA